GGGAGCCCGCTGGGGTCCCGCGCCTCACACGGCGGAAGGCCCGGGCTGCCCCATGGCCAGGGTTCCCCAGAGCTCAGCGCGGCCCGGGCCACGGGGCACAGGGACAGCGAAGATGGGAGGCTACGGCACCTGGGCAGCTCCAAGTTTCTTCCTAGTTTCGGCCCGCCGGAAGTGGCTCTGGGCTGCGTCACTTCCGCCCGCTAGCGCGCGGCCGGGGGCGGGGCTCTGGACTGGCTTCTCGCTCCGCCCTCTACCTTCGGGGGCGGGGCAGGGAGGTGATAACCTCCACACTGGTCGCAGGTAATCCTGCCCCGCAGTGCTCTGTCTGCCGTCGCGCCTCGGGATTGTCGCACTGCTGTTGACCCAGGGTCCCTGAATGTAGACTTGGGTGGCCCAAGGCCTTGGGGTCCGTTGTCTGGGAAAGGGCCAGGGAAGCGGGCCTTAGGGGCTTCGAATAAAAAGAAGAGCAGGGATCCCACCGGGGGGTTTTCCGTAGGCTATCCCCGAACTCGGGAGGCGAAAAGTGTCCAGACTAGGAGGAGAGGAAGAATCTGAGTCCGAGCTTTCCCAGATGGAGCGAGAAGCCGCGACAGTGATAGAGCGAATCTCTGGTGAGCCTTCCTCCCTGCCAAGTCTGCAGCTGCTGCCCTCGTGCAAGGGCGAGTTTGGGCTCCACTTCGGAGAGCCAAGTTCTTCCAGTGTAGGCAGGAGGAGAGCTGAAATGTTCAACAGCTGGTGCCAACAAAGCCGGTTGGCCCAAGGGTATCCAGGAGACAGAGAAAGACCCTCGGTAAACACCTTTCAGCGTGCAGCCTCAGTGTCTGCTTTCTTCACACAAATGCTTCTGGAGTCACTTGTTAAAGGGAGAAGTCCAGCATATCTTAATCTCTGCTCTAATAAGAAGGTTTGGGAAATGATTTCTTCCAGAATTTGTTACATTGCAAACCCATGACCATGATGACTGGCAGCACGCAGACACAAGTTCCGTATTCTTGCTACAATATTTTCAGTTTTAAGCTAAGGTCTTAAATCCTCTATACTCAGAACTTGATATAAGATGTCTAACCACACTGAACAGTGGCAGGTCTGAACGGTAGCAGAAACCCCACTGTCTCTGACAATCTGAAACAAATGGGGTGAGTAGCACCCCCTCTCAGGAGTGTTTGTTAGTCAACCATAGCAGCATGGAATCCTGTCAGACCCTCATCAGCACAGCTAAGTTAACTGAACCATGGGACGTTTTTTCAACATATATTGATGACCTGTCTGCTGTGTATCAAGTCCTGGATTTATAATAGCTTGTTAGTCCTAACCATCCTGTGAAAGAGTACCTCTAGTCCTATCCTTATTTAATCGATGAAGGAGCAGCTAGGCAGGGCTACCTGGCATGCTCCCAAGATCACACAGGGGGCAGTGACAGAACCAAAGAGAGCCCAAGGTTGTTTTTGCTCCAGAGCCGTTCTTTCTCGGGCCCTCACTCACTGAACTATCCTGCCCCCTGTCCCAATTTGGTCCATGTCACTTAAAGTCAACAATATGAATGTCCCTTAAAATAATGTTCTGTAATTCTAAGTATGGAAGAACCCATGTTTCTCCAAAGTCTAACTTCAGGCTAGTGCAACGTATGTAATAATGAAAATGAAAGTTCATTTCTTTAGCTAATTATAGCAATGAAACAAATGAAGTCCTGCTAAACTCATCTTTTTGTTTATCAACAAATGTTAAGTATAGCATGGACACATCCAAAACTGCACAAAGAGACAGGGAACAGCAGAAGTGAATTGATGTCCGCTAAGTCGAAAGGCACGGATCTTCGAAAACTGGTCACGGTGAGTAGGAAAGATTGTAGCTTAGGAAGCAGCTGAGACAGAACACAAAAGGAAATGCTAATAGAGTCAAAGCTATGTGGACAGGAAGAGTCCAGATAGCAAGCCCTGCGGTAGGAGCTGGTGACAGTTTGTCCCATGACATACAGAACACTTATTAAAGTGACTGCCTCATTTTCCCCAAGGTGACCAGTCTCTGAGAGGCTGGTTCAGAGGCCATGTGTTAACCCACAGAGCTCAACATCTGCTCTGCTGAGAGGCCCAGGAACAGGACTGCTCCTCCAGACACCAAAAAGCTGAGCACAGCTGCTCCTTGGGCTCCCCACGAGAGTTCATTACAACATCTCGCCTTTTTGGTAAACAATCATGCCCAACTTTTTAAGTCCCTGACTCAGACCCCTGCTATGTCTGCTTCATTAGACCTTTGTCTCTCAAATTCCAGAGAGATGGAAACTGCAGAATGTTAGAATCCACAGATACTGCCATTCAAATTAACCTGTGGGTAAACAATGTGTTCATAAATAGGAATGCAGTGAAATTTGATCTTGTCTGGCTTAACCAGGTCAGATAAAGAAAACTACCCAAATGGCAAGAGCAATTTGTCCTTCGGAAAGAATACAGAACTATTTCATTCCCAGGATTCTAACAGAAATAATGAGCAGAAGCAACCTGAGAGGGAGGAGCTGTCTACCCCAGCCTGTCTTTCCGTGTGGTAGGAAGAACGATGGCTCCCAAAGATGTCCATGCCCTAATCCCTAGAATGGATGAATATGTTAGTTTACATGGCAAAGGGGATCGTGCAGGTGTGGTTAAATTAAGGCTCTCAAAATAGAGAGATTATCCTAGATTGTCCATGTGAACTCAGTGTAATCACAGGGTCCTTATGAAAGGGAGACAGAAGGGTCAGACCTAAAGAGGACATGAAAATAGAAGCAGAAGTCAGAGTGAGGCAAGACCACAAGCCACAGAAAGGAGGCAGTTTCGAGGAGCCCGAAAAGAACTGAATTCTCCCTTAAAACCTCTGAGAGAAGCACAGCCCTGTTGAGTGGTTTTGGACTTCTGATCCTTTGAATTGTAGGATAATACGTTCATGTTGTTTAAAATCATTACATTCATGGCAATTTTTCATTAATATACTTTCTCAACCATAAAATACTCTACCACCCAAATAGCTGATGCATCAACTTTTATAATTAGGATCCAGCAGGTGGAGTGGTGGTTAAGGCACTGGCCTCCCACATGGCTGACCACAGTCCAAGTCCTGGACCTGGGGTGGCTTGCTAGCTCGCTCTCTCTGCCCCTCTCTATCTCTGTCTGGTCATACTGAAGAAGAAGAAGAAATAAATGGATGATTATTTTTTTTAATTATGATAAAAGTCATTGTATTTTCAATGTGAATTCCTTAGGAGGAATCATCTCTATTAGCCCTCTTATTTTTTAGTATACATGAGCTAGTGCATCCTTTTCTGAGAGCAAGGTTTTGTCTTTCAAGATAAAAAGCTCAAAGATAAAATGAAGTCATGAAAGCACCTAAGTGGGAGGGATTCATTTTCTATTTGTATTTCACATTTTTTGCCTGGGCACAACCTTGCTCCTAGGGTTCTACACTGTATGTGCTTTGCTTTCTTCCGTGAACCAGTTCCTCTCCCACCTGCAGCCATGTTCAATGCCTTGGCTAGCTTGGTCCTATCACATACCTTTGCCGTTGCTAGTCCCTCCACCTTGAATTCGTGGACTTCCCCAGGCTTTGCACAGCAGGCTCCCTTCAGGTTACCCAGTGTCACTTAGAGTGTCCTCCTCCAACTGCCCTGGCCATTCTAGCCACCTCCTCCTCTCTCCTCTCTTGTGCATTACCTTAATTTATTTCCTTCATTGCAAGAATTCCCTGATTGACATTGTCTCGTTTGATTTCTTATTTATTATCTGTCTCTCTGCAGAAAGAAGGACTTTGTCTGTCTTGCTGGTAGGTCTGTCTCTAGTACCTAGAACTCTGAGTCACACATAATAAATGCTCAATAAATACCACTGAGCGTAGTGAATGAATGGACTCTGTAAGACTGCTGAGCCCTCAGATAGCACCTTCTCACCCTGACCACTGTACTCAAAATCATAACCCGTCTTCCAACCCTCTGCATTCCCCTCCCCTGGACTGTTTTTCTCTATAAAATGGAGAGGGCACTTAATACCATCTACTATATTTAATAAGTGACTTAACTTTTTAGAATTGTCTCCCCCACTAGACAGGAAGCTCTCCAAAAATAAGGGCTTTTATCTGTTTTCTCTGCTATATCCTCAGGCTTAGGTTAGCACATGGTAGGCACCCAATAAATAGTGAATAAGGAGAATTCTAATTTAAAAATCCAAATGGAAGGATTCTCTTGAAAATTTTGGGGTCAACTCATGGTGTGGTAGTTAAGGTGGCTAGATTCCAAATGGCTGACTACACAGTTGGAGTCCCGGACTCACTGGCTTGAAAAACATACTGGGCATGTGTGCATGCCTACCCAAAATCTCTAAAGGAGATAAAAGGGATTGCAGTGTGATCATCCACCCTGAGGGATTCTTTCTCACTTTTTCTCTCTCTTGCTATCTCTCTCCAGCCAGCACACATGCTCTGTAGTGAAATTAAAAATAATAATAATAATGTAGGGGCCAGCAGGAGGTTTGGTGGTTAGGGTGCTGAACTCCCACATGGCCAACCGTGTCCCACACCTGGTGGCTTGATTTCTTTCTTTCTCTCTCTCTCCATCTCTCCCTGGTGAGTACACATGTCCTATATCAAATTTTAAAAATAAGAATAATAAAATTAAATAATTCTTTCAAAAAATAAAACTTGGAAAGTCCTACAGTATTGCCCCTCCCCCTCCCACATGAATCAGTGTAGCTGAGGAGAGGCCGCCTCACTCAGACAGGATGCGGGCTTTCCCACTGGCCACGGTCTCCACTGCTCTCTACTGCCTCCCTCCTATGAGCACCATCAGTTGTGAAAATCATCATACGTAAGCTGTATTTTGGAGGTGAAAAATAGTTGTGTGCCCTTATCTCTGTCAAAAGTGAAGAAAATGAAAGTTAGATTGAAAGCTCAGCACCCCCATCCTCTCTTGCCTCACATACTTCAGAAATACTAAGATATT